CTGGAACGGCTGCGGCGCCGACGTCACAAGCCCGCCGGCAGAGGCCCCGCCCCCTGGCGCCAGCAGACACCCCGGGAGCTTTCGGGCTGGCCCCCGGCCCCGGGGGGCCGCTGTGGCCCGAGCAGGGCTCTGGCGACTTGAGCGACCCCGTCCCGCATGGGGATTCCGGCCTGCGGTTGAGGCACCTCAAGCCCTGCACCACAGACGCCGGGGCAGGCAGCTGGGCAGCCCGCACACTCCCGCCACAGCACATCGACTGCTGCGGTAAAGTGACACAATTTGACACTAGCTCTTGTGGTGCCACAGCTGTGGCACAGCAAAGGCTACTGTCTTGCCCGTTGTGGTGCTTGTTTCTACCCTGAGACCTCCGTGCTTCCCCCTCCCTGTAGCACAGCCCTGGCACAGATTTTTAAAAGTGCAAAGTATTTAACTCCCAGGTAAACGTGCAAAATAAAGTACTTCTACAAATCTGGCTCTTTCAGTAAACTTGTGGTATATTTATAAACGGACAGACCATGTAAAGTGCTTCCTGTTCAAATTGTCTTTGGTTTGTATCTCACAAGGTATTTCAATGTCATTTGTCGCCATGGAATTGCATCATAACGGCCACCAGAAGGGACTGACAGCACAACGCATACAAGCCCCGCTTCCTTCCAGCCTTACACCCTGGCTTACAGGGTACACCAAATACTAGTGAGACATCAACTTACTATGACCATATTACCTGTCTAATACCACCATTAGTAAGGTGGGTGAGCACTGACAGCATAGGCTGCAGCAACCTGGGAGCAGGGATAGCTCTAGCTATCTGTGGTAGGAATAGCTCTAGCTTTGCCTCTACTGCAAACCTAATTCAAGTCTGCTACTGTAGCAACTCTATAGCAACTAACTCTCTCTATACTAACAGACTCAAAACAAAGTTTATTTATCTATGAACTAATACTGGATTGTCACTACAGAAGTCAAAGTGAACAGAGATGCTATAAGCAGGGATTGAAAATGGCATCAGTGCAAGGTCTGGAACACATGCCAAAAAGCACTGTTACACAGAGGCAGTGATGGGTTTAAAATGTGAGCTCTCTTTGACAAAGCTAAAAATAAGGGTTTTATATCATCATATCTTTAGAAATGCCAGCATCCTAGGAGAAGAAAGCATTTCTGCCTTACTCTGATAGGATAGGACATTAGACCTTAAATGAACAGTTTTTCATAGTCCATATGGATTTATTGCAATGGTTCATCTGACCTCCCACATGAAGGCCATCAGACTTCATTAATTCTTGCTTTATGTTCAATAGCTGCACTTGAACTAGAGCATATGTTCTGCCTCACTTTCAGTACCTGCCTTTCCTAAGCACAAATCTTTTCTACCAGCTGAGTCAACAAATTGTACTTAAAACAAAGCAGAAAAGATGACCATCCAATTTTGATTTTAAAATTACTAGAATTTGCTACATCCCATGGTAGGTTCTTTTTAGTGATTTATTTTCCTCACTGGGAAAGATTTGTGCCATATTTTTACTTTGAATATACGTGGCTTAAACTTCCAGCTGTTGTTTCTTTTTATAACTTCAGCTAACTGAAAAGCCCTCTGCTATCACATTTCTGTTCCCATGTGGGTATTTATAGACTGTGGTCCAGTTATGTATTAACATTCTCTTTCTTAAACTAAACGTTTGACTACCTTCAACTCTTTAGTTTCTGAACCCTCTCCAACTTATCAGTATCTTTCTTGTGAACGGAATAGTTCACAATAATTTAGCAGCAGTTGCACTACAGGTACTATATTGTCCTTACTGCCGCCCAAGATTCCTGTCTTTATGCATCCAAGGACTGAATCCTTTCAGCTACCATGGGAACTCACATTCAGCTGACTATCCACCATATTCCTCAGACCTCTTTCAGAATCAGTGGCCATGTCTACACAGGACAATAACTGCACAGTTGTTACTGCACAGTCATTTAGTACTTGCATAGCCAAGTACTACATGACTATACAGTAACTGGTGTTACTGAGCAGTAGGGTCTCCACACAGCTTCTGGGTAATGCTGACTGTGCAGTAGTCCATTACTACTGTGCAGTAGTGTCACATCATGGTTTGTGGCCTGCAATGCTACTACATAGTACTAACAAGCTACTGCACAGTAGTAATGAGCTACTATGCAGTAAGCGTCCTGCGTAGACATGGCCACTGTGTCCCAGGATAAAGTCCCTGATCCTGGAAGCATGGCCTACACATTCATTCTTTCTACATGTGTGTCAACATTTGACTTTATTGAAATGTGTGTCATTAACAGAGCAAAGAACCGATCCCTGGAGGACCACACTGTTCAATGACTATTTATCATTACATTTTGAGATCTATCACTGGAAATTTACTGTTCAGATTTAAGAGTTGCTGTAGTTCTTAATATGTTGTACCATGCTCTGACCTTTCTGATTTACACCCCATGCATCCTCACTGAAGTCAGTCAGGTCATTCAAGGGATTAAATTTGTCCCATTACTTTAAGTGATCTCAAATTTTCAGTATACAGCAAGTTTGATTGGACCAGGGCTACTCACCAAGGAATCATGACCCACAGGGGTCCACAAAGGGTAGATAATAGGACATTCAATTAAAATAAATAACAAGCCACAAAATAGTGAGTTGATACTACATGAAAATAGAGATCTTCTTATTGAACATGGTATGAAGCTCTAGATAGTAGGAGAAAGCATACTATCCTTTTTTTTCTTTGTTGGTGACATGCAGAGGAGTTAGGCTATGTAGGTACAGTGGACTCCACGTACTGTACAGGAATTTCTCTGTTCACTATGAACATTGTTCTATCATGATTTCTGGGTATCTGGCATGCAATCCTGGTCCCAGTTAACCCCATGGTAAAACTCAGATTACTCTCCATGGCACCAGGATTCTACCCTATTCTAAAAGCAACTAACACTGTATTTATATTTTGGGGAAACATTCAAAATTAATTCCAGTATTCCAACAAAATCTTGTTCCAACTGAAAGTCATGATTTTAACAGTACTTCTGTTTAAAACCTGATAGAATGACATAGCCCCATCTATGATTTTTAAACAAAAGTTATGACATTACATTTGGACATTTGTATAATATGCTTACACAAGAACTAAGAAAAAAGAACAGATGTAATGCATTTTCCTTATCCAGTTTACTCTGAGTTATTAGGTGTTGGTGAAAGGATTTATTGGACCTGCTTGCTCACTATTTCTTATCTCCCATGGTTCTATGTGTATTCTTTTACTACAGCATGTTGTAACTCTTTTTTCTCAACCATCTGTTACCCAAGGTTTTCAGAGCGTTTATGGACATTAATTAATTCATCCTCACAGCAGCTCAGAGAGTCAGGGAATTAAACTTATCTTCATTTACAGAGAGAAGCTAAGGATGACATTTTCAAAGCTGCCCTCCGATGTGGGATGCCTATCTGAAACGTGTTTAATGTTCAGAGATCCTGCGCAGCTGCAGCTCTTGCTGATTACAACTAGAGTTGTGTTTGTTACTTCTTGAAGAGTATCTTAAATAAAGGACCCCAAATTAGATACTTTTTGAAAATGTTGGCCTACGTGACCTGTCCAAGGACAAAGAGTATATAAGTGGCAAACTCCAGAACTGGGAACAAAAATCTGAACACCAAAATTCCAGTCTCATGTTCTACCCATTGGGCTGTATTCCTTCACTATAACTTACCTATAAGTTCAAAATACTGTCACAATACATTTTAGATTCTACTAAAAATTGCCATTAGACTTAAGTTTGACACACTTCTGAATTTTACAGGTACGATCCCTGACTGGGACTCTGTAATAATGGGCTGCATATTAATATAACATCTCAGCATGCCTATAAGAATGTTGAATATATTTTGACTTTAATAATGAGAAATTTCATAAAGAAATGGAAAGTTTCTTTGAGTATTTCAAACAGAATTTAGACATAAATTAGACATGGGGAAAACACAATTAAGCAATTTTAAGAAATAAGTGGATTCCAGGAAAATCAGCTTATTAGCAGCACAATAAAATTCACAATTGCACTTTGCAAATAGAAATGCTGTAATTATTCAGGAAAACAAAAAAAAGTAAATATCCATTCAGTGTAAATATTGTCTTTAAAGTAGCTCCATAAAAAGATACTGACATGTTACATATGGAGAAAAGTATTTTCTATTTATGTTAACAATGAGAATTTAAACATCAAGACAAACACAATGCACATATTTTAACAGAATTTAAAAATAAAATATTTTTCTCAAAAAAAAACGTATCTAAAAGAGAAATCTTTGCTATTTCAATGGATTGTTAGACCCTACACTTAAAAACATGCATGTACAGAACTTTTCAAATCTTTTAGTCTTT